CGATGCCGACTACGATGTCGGCGAAACGTTTGGGAATGTACCACATCCATGGTTCAACTTTGGAAATGATCATGCAGACAATGGACCCCGGACTAGGTGCGTTCCAATAAGTATTTCTATCAATATGACCATGTTGCGAAAACAAGGTCAAACAATCTCTATAAACAAAAGGCCACACCATCTTGGTCTTCATACCTTCGAATGAAATATGGAATAAATATCTAGAAATTTACCAAGTTCTCAGTCGAACGCTTGGAATCATGATAACTACTATACCAGAGGACTTCGGAGAAGGCGCGTACAACTAAGTCGCTCGGACAACACGACCAACTTGCGAAAACGAGATCAGACTACTTCTCAGTGAAACTTTTTTTCGGGTCTTGTCTTCATGGCATAATGCGATGAAGAGGGTTTGAGAGGCCCGTGTCCAAGATGAAAAAAAAATAAATCAAAAATAGAGGTTGTTTGACCTTGTTTTTGCAACTCGGTCATATTGGTAGGAAGACTTAGAGGAACGCATCTGGTCTGGAGTCCATTGTCTGCATGATCATTTCCAAAGTTTAACCGTGGACGTGGTTCATCCCCAAACTTTTTGCCGGCATCGTAAATGAGTATCGCCATTCTTAGTACCACACATCAACTTGTCAAAGAGACAAGTGAAGCCGATCCTTTGACCAAACGCGTGTTAAACAATTATGGTATCTCCTCTTCTGCCCTTAGTCATTCGCGTTTCCGGTATCATCAAATCATACCTTTACTATTACAATTTTTAGCGTGTTTATTTAGATGGTGGAGTGTGCTCCTTTGAGCGACATGACACCTTCACACTCCAACTGTCGTTCTCACCCCCTCTTTCATCCTTGGTCAGGGAATGTCGATCAGAGTCTGCTTTATTCTTATGCAATTCTCCTTCCTTGTCTTATCCCATTCTCTCTCTTACTCCGTAAAACCCATCTACTCTACCCCTTGTTCACCTATTTCACTCGATTCCTGTCACCACAAAAAACCACGCCATCTTGGTCTTTATACCTTTGATTAAAACCCAAATAGTCTATCTATCTTTTTCGACACGGAGATTGCACAACTCTATATATCCGCATACGACCCAAGGCCCCATTAGGCATATCTAGCGGGCCACCTCAACATCCCAACTTAGGGATGAAACCCAGATCAAGCGTTTCAAGAAAGGCCTTTCTCCACTGGTTTGACCTGAACTAATTACACATTTTTTTAGGTGAATGCTAGTAAAATTGGCTTCTTATCTCTTTTTAATTGCACCTCTTGATCATCGCCTCCTGGCGTGTCGGCAACCAGCTTGTACTTTAATTATCAAATTATAGGATCCTCAAACTGCTCGCTTACGACCTGTTTATTTACTTGTGTTTGCCAACCAGTCGCGCGCAGGATATACGGTACCGAAGAGCCGACAGTGATAAACTGGTCCCTTCTGAAGGCGGCGGTATATGCACAGGGCCCAACTGGAGAAGCAGGCCGACTGGCTCGCAGCGAGGGCGTTGAGTACCACAAAATCAAGGCGCTATCTCTGAGTTTTCAAGGTTATCAGAGGAGACCTCACTTGAGATCATTTTTACTTATTAAAAAAAAATAATAATTTTTTATGCATATATGTAAATATATATATGTACTATTGTAGCATATAATAGTATCAATAGTATATGATCTTTGTGGCTCTACCACAAGGACAAGCATTATTTAAGAGGGTGTAGTTAATAGATAGTCCATCAAGAAATAGGCATCTACTCAACCGTTCGTGCAGTTGCATCAAAGTCTGCAAAACCGTCTTGATTCCATTTAAATGAATACGCAGAGCGACATATTTATGCTTTGTTTTTCCAACAAACACTTTACCGACTAACTCCTGCAAGGTACCAAC